CCATTACTAAGAATTTCCTTAACAACTTAAAGTATTAATTCAGCACGCCTCTGAAGAGTTTATCAATTAGAAGTAGATACACTATGAGAACTCTGATGGCTAGAGTGATACACTAATAACATTACTTTGAAGATTAAATTATAACTTATGACCCTTTAACAATGAAAAATTGATTCCATTAAACAGAGAACATGAACAAACCATAGGAAAAAAAAACCCAAAAAAACAGAAGATGCAACTTACTTTGCCTTTAAACTTTTCCAGAGAAACTGTTCTTCCTTTTGCATCTTTCACTTCAAATGTATAAAAGCTGTTGATTTTAGGTTTTAGGAATTTTAGTTGTAGAAGAAATAGCATTACTGTGCATAGAACCATAGACAGTAAAACTGCAAATACCTTTGCTTTTGACCCTGAACATCTTAAAGGGTACGCTGTGAGAGGCTCCATTTTGGATGATTCTAGAGGGAAGTCTCAGCAGGCTGGAATTCGAGGAGGAGCTGAAACTTGACACCGGCTCAGTTTAACGGAAAACCAAGAAGGACAGACTAGCTTCTTTCCCTGCTAAGGAATAGAAAGACCTTTCTCAGATGGGAAAGGAGTGAAACTCCTGGATAAAATAAAGAGTGCCAAAGAATTTCAATGTATTTATGATGCCCATTGCAATCTTTGCTAGAAAAAACAGGACTTTTTTGATAGTTCTTTAACATTCTCCTGACAAAATATTTCACCAGAAGATGGTGCCCTTGTAGGGCGCAAGCTGTGGATTGAGCCCTCCCAGTAACTGGTTAAATGTAGGGGAGTGGGTAAACACCACTGAGAAATAGTTCAGAGGGTAGATTAAATGTTGTCTATTAATATGGTGTATATAGCTTGAAGGAATTGAATATTATACGTACACATTAAACTTGCTACATCAGTTCTAGGAATTTACAGTGGAAAGGGCAGAGAAATATGTGAAGGGGCTGCTTGCTCTGACTTCATCTAATTAAGGCAGTGCCAGGTGAATATAGCAAAAATAAACAGATCAAACACAATGAAGACTTAAAAAAAACCTCCTATATCATAAAGCAAACTATAGTCCGGTGTTTTTCAAATTTTTGATTATGACCCCCAGTAAGAAATGCACTTTACAATTTAACTCAGTACGCAGACATACATAACTGAGAAGTTTCATTAAACAACACTTCCCCTTTGAATGTTGATATGCCTATGGTAGTTTTAAAACAGCCTGGTTCCGACCCATGACAATGATTTAATGGGTTGCAACCTGTAGACAGAAAAAATACTGAACTCTATAATAAATCAGGAATTCAACAATTAAATCAGACAATTCTACCAAGAAAGCAAAAACAAACAAGGAAATCCCCCAAACCCACCTCTCCTTGGGTGCATCATCTAGTTGCTTCTTCTTCTTCTTTTTTTTTTTTTTGTCTTTGTTTTTTCCGTGGCTGTTGCCTCTTATAGGAGGCCTAACTTCACTGTTGAAAATTTCAGGGGTACGAATGGATGGGAAATTGAGGGCTGCAGTCCTTGGATCACCTTAGCCTTTTCCCTAAGTCACACAGCAAGTTTCAAATGAAGGTGCTTCGTTCTATTTGGCCTGAATTTTGGAGTCATGGTGTGATTACAGAAAATGCTAGGAAAAAGTGCACGGAAGGATCTGAAAAACTGTGGGTGTGCCCTTTCCCTTCAGGATTAGATCTTTGGCACTTTAGAGGATGTGCTCAGGAAGCTACAGCTCCACTTCTGGGCCCTGCGTCTGTGGTGTGTGCTCTTGGGGGTAGATGAGCTGAATCCACAGCTTAGCCGTGTACGACCTGTCAGAGACTGATAAACCATGTCGTTCCCACTCTCTCAGAGCCTGGTAAGAATGGATACAATAGAAAAGTCTCTTTCTGTACACATAATTTCTGGTAAAGAACAAAACAACAGGTTTTGTGTACACAAAACCTGTTGTATCACCTCTTAACTACGATAGTATTACTTGGGTGCTCTCTGGCTGAATTACTAAAAAAGTCAAACTTTATATGACACCTGGACTTAAATTCTCTGACCTTGCTGCTCCAAGCGCTTGGGCTCAAAGTGCCCAGTCTTGTCATAGGGAGCAATACAAAATAAATGTTTCTTTGTTTCATACATTGGCTTCCTTTAAATATTTGAATACAGTTCCTTATGGGTCTTCTTTCCTCTAGATTAAATACCCTCGGTGCCCTCACTCCATTCATGTCTTGCTCCATTGCTGTGTTCCCTGACTTCAAATCACTGCAGTCCCTTTCCTCTAAATGAACTCAGGTTTAGAATCCTGGCTGGCTCACCTTACAGGACAGGTCCAAGCCTGGACACAGTTCTCCAGATGGGTTCTGACCAGCACAGAGACAACTGGGTTTCCCTCGCTCTTGTTTTGGACACTGTTTTTCTCATTTTATAATGAGACCTAAAATTGTAATGCTTAAAACAAAGTCATCTCATTATGCTATTGATTCATATTCTGGTGGTATCTAATACTGTCAGTCCTTTTCACTGCATATCAGCTCTCTCTCACGTGCAGTGAAAAATAATCATTATTGCATTAGGATTCTCTAGAGGAAAAAAACCAATAGAATATAAGTAAATATATATACATGAGGCTCATGAGGTTATGGAGGCTGAAAAGTCCCATAGTCTGCAACCTATAAGCTGGAGAACAGGAAAGTCGGTGGTTTAATTCAATCTAAGTCCAAAGTCCTGAGACCTGGGGAGCAGCTGGTATAAGTCAAGGAGTACGAAGGTCTGACAAACCAGGAGTTCCGATGTATGAGGGCAGGAGAAAATGGACGTCCTAGTTCAGGAAGAGAGAAAATTTGCCCTTCCTTTGCCTTTTTGTGCCATTTGGGCCCCCAGTGGATTGGATGATGCCCACCCACAGTGGTGAGGGTGGATCTCTTTACTCAGTCTACTGAATCAAATGTTCATCTCCACTAGAAACACCTTCCCAGCCACACCCAGAAAAAATGTTTTACCAGCTCTCTGGGCAGCCCTTAGTCCAGTCAAGCTGATGCATGGAATTAACCGTTGCAATTACTTGGCTATCACGGACTGCCTAACCCAGTTTGGAACGGGGAGGAAGGGAAGGTCAGAGACACCTTCCTGACGTGATGGCTGATCCCAGCTGTGAAGGTGGGCTAGAAGTTACCCTGGCAGAGAATTGGGGAACAGCACCCTGGTGAGGAGACAGTATGGAGGATGTGACAGGAGATGAGCCAGAGAAACACACACCTGCTGAGACAGTGTAAGACTGTTGGTGTGAAATTTCTTGATCATTTTTCTTAGCTGAGATGTCATTTATGAATAAATAAATATATTATGTGTAATATATGTATATGTACATACATAAACATATATCCTCTACAATTGGCTTGTTCATTTCTTTGCTGATGGTCATTTGTGTTATCTCTACCTTCTGGCTATTGGGAATACTACTACCATGAACATGCATGTACCTGCGTTTGTTTGAGTTTGGGTACCTGTTTTCATTTCCCCTGGGTCTATTGTAGTGACATTGTTCAATCATACAGTAATTCTAGGCTTAATTTTCTGAAGAGTTGCCTACTGTTTTCCACAGTAGTACCACTTTACATCCCCATAAGCAATGTACAAAGTTTCAAAGTATGTACAAATGTACAGAGTATTGCCTTTTAAGGATGTCACGTAGTCTATCTACTCAATTCTCCATTGGTAAATATTAAGTCCTTCCCATCTTTTCCCCCTATAAACATATATACAGCAGTAACACCCCCGTGTTCTCTGCTGAGAGTGTGGACTGTGGAGTCAGACAGATGAGATTAGGGTATAGCATCTCCAAACGGACTCACTGTGTGGTCTTAAGCAATTCACTTAAACTCTAAACCTCAGTTTCTTCATTGGTAAAGTGGGAATAAATAACAGACCTGCTTCACAGGTGTTTCTGAAGATTAAATATGAATGTATGTAAACATTTAGCATATGGGTTCATATTGTGGTAAGCACTCAAAAATATTTTGGTTTTGTTCATCTTTGCTCATATTTTTTAATTTCTTCCTTAAATTCTTAGATGTGACGTTTCTGGGTCAGTAGAGGTTATACACACATTTGAAGGCTTTTGACACATATTGCCAAATTGTCTTTTCCAAATACTAATTTATGCTCCACCAGCAATGTATGTCAGTGTTTGTTTCTAGAACCTTCAACCCTGGGGCTTGTCATTTAAAAAAAATCATTGCTAGCATCTTGTTACTGTTTTAAATTAGCATTTCTTTGATTATTAGTGAGTTTGAATATTTTGGGGGTATTTATATATCTCTTTTGTGAAGTGTCTTTTTGGGTCCTATGCCCTATTTTTTTCTATTTGGTTTGAAAATTTGTCTAAATTTTTCTAAGAGTCCTTTACACAAAGATATTAATCTAAAATGCTGGCATCTTATTAAAAATATATTTCCAATTTGTCATTTACATTTTAATTTCATGTAGATACATGACCTGGTTCACCATTATAGGATCTGTAAATACCAAACCCCTGGGGTTTCTCAGAGGGAATGAGATGAATGTTGAGCAACTTAGGCCTCAGTTATCTCATCTGTGAAATGAAAAGGTTGGACTAGAAAATTGCTGTTTATTTCCAGATTTGCAATTTTGTGATTTTGTATAAACATTTTGTCTGTTCAATATATAGGGTTATTTCAACTTCATATTTTATATTGATATGTAATTGTAATAACTGTAAACATAATTACTCTCCAAGCTGCCTTTATACATCTTGAGACCCTTGAACAGAGGCTCTAGGTACACACACACACACACACACACACACATATATACACATATTTATATATATAAAATAACATTCTCTCAGGTCACAAGAACTAAAAATCTGATTTATAATTTGTTTTGTACTAGATGAGTTGTTTATAGTTCTCCTTTAAGGAATCCCTACTTTTGCATCATTGAGGCCACTATAAATTACAGCTTTTTTTCTTGTTAAATAGATATTTGATGAAGTTAAGACTACATATTCTAGCTTCAAGAGCAACTTTGTGAAGAGGCTGTCTGCTGAGGTTCCCATTGCCAGTAGCCCAGTTACCACCAGATGGCGGCAAAGCCAAACCAGGGATCTGGCAGCCTGCTCCTTTGGGGAAGAGCTTTCAACCACTTACCTCCCAGAAGCTTCTGGATCCATGCTGAAGATAACTCCTGAGAAAGAGACTCTGATTCTAGGTGAGGTAATAGAAATTCCACAGGCTGTTTAAAAAAATTGTTAATGAAACAGATATTTCCGAGAGAATCTTTGTCTCGTAGAACTATTTAGTATCACATTCATCAAGTGCTTTCCTTTTCTTCTTCCTTTGAATAAGAAATTCCCAAGGTGGTGATGTGGGGGTGGGGGTGGGGTGGGGTGGGAAATGAAACAAAAACAAAAGACAGTATGTTGTATTTTAGATGCATTTCTGAGATTTTCAGTGGTATGTGATTCCTTTTGTAAAGTTTATAATTACATAAGATTTTTCAATTGTCCCTTGGCCCCTCTGATGAACAAGTGATATGAACATATAAGATACTTAGTTTTCGAGGATGACGTGACAGGGTTTTCTGTGCAGTTAAAAGTCTGGTAAAGGGCTTTCTCAGTCTTGAGAAGAGAACAGATATGAATAATAATAATGCTAATAACATTGACTCTATTATTACTTTAACTTAGAAAGTATTTCACTGATGCCATCTCAAACTACCCTTACAGCATCTTTCTATAAAAGGAAGAGGGAGAGGCAAAATGATTAGGAAAGCAACCATCCCACAATGATTTCCTGGCAGGATGATCATAGCCTGGGCAAAGCAGACACCTTTGCTCCATCATCTTAAAACTCTGGAACTGTTTGTATCTATTCTTCAAATGTGCAAATATGTTCTTTCTATGCAGAGATAAAGCATTTCTGCTGCTGTTGCAGTGGGAGTCAGGTCTTTTATCTTGGCATTTCCTACAGAGGCCACTGAGGCAGTGCTCACTTATGACCCTGGTTCTGGATAAGGCCCTGTGCTGACTCTCCCTCTTCTATCCACCTCTGCCAGGATTTTGGAGAGATGAGGGTCTGTGTCTTCACATTCTGTTGTGAAAGACACAATGGTTAACCACCAACCAAAGTGATTATCTTATTTTGAAAAACAAAAGCTAAATGTTTTTCTTGCAGGGTCCTTCCAAGAACCACTGAAGACACCCATCAAAGGGAGTTTTGAAACAAATAACTCTGCTCTCCATTTTTGCGAGGCAGCTCATGCACTGGATAGAGGCTGGAATGAAAACGTTGCCTCAAAAGGCCAGGTAGGTAAAAAGAGAAAACTGACGACCTCATGTCCTGAGAAGCTCAGACAAATGAGTCCCAAATGTGGGGAAGGAACTGGCTTAGCCGCTCTTACAAGTCAGTAAGAAAATGATGGGTTCCTGACAGACAAAATGAGTGAGGGAAGGACATGAATAGGGGCACTTTGTAAAAGAAATATAATACCGAACAAATATACAAGTTCAGTTAGTATCAATCAAAAAAGTGAAAATGAAACAGAAAAAAGGTAAAGATCCAGATGACATGATACTATAGAGAAAACCCTAAAGACTCCATCAAAAGACTACCAGAACTGATAATAAATGAATTAAGTAAAGTGGCAGGATACAAAATAAGTATACAGAAATCTGTTGCATTTCTATAGACTAATAATGAAGCATCAGAAAGAGAAATTAAACAATCCCATTTACAATTGCACCAAAACCAGTAAGATACCTAGGAATAAACTTAACCAAGGAAGTAAAAGGCCTGTACTTTGAAAACTATAAAACACTGATGAAAGAAATTAAAGATGACACAAACAAATAAAAAGATATTCCATGCTCATGGATCGGAAGAACAAATCTTGTCAAAATGTCAATATTACCCAAAGCAATTTCCAGATTTAATGCAACCCCTATCAAAAGATCAATAGCATTTTTCAGAGAACTAGAACAATCTTAAAATGTGTCTGGAACTACAAAGGAGACAAGACTATGCAATGGGAAAAACAAAGCCTTTTCAACAAATGGTGTTGGGAAAACTGGACAGCTACATGCAAAAGAATGAAACTGGACCACTTTCTTACACCACACACAACATAACCACAAAATGGGTTAAAGACCCATTAAGTGTGGTTTCTGAAACCATAAAATTCCTAGAAGAAAACATAGGCAGTAATCTCTTTGACATCAGCTGTAGAAACATTTTTTAAATATATGTCTCCTCTGAGAGAGAAGAACCATATGGTCTTTTCATTTGATGCAGAAAAAGCATTTGATAAAATACAGCATTCTTTCTTGATTAAAACTCTTCAGAGTATAGGGATAGAGGGAACATTCCTCAATTTCGTAAAATCCATCTATGTAAAACCCACAGTGAATATCATTCTCAATGGGGAAAAGCTGAGAGCCTTTCCCTTAAGATCAGGAACACGTCAAGGATGCCCACTCTCACCACTATTGTTCAACATAGTATTAGAAGTCCTAGCAACAGCAATCAGACAACAAAAAGAAATAAAATGTATTCAAATTGGCAAAGAAGAAGTCAAACTCTCTCTCTTTGCAGATGACATGATACTTTATGTGGAAAACCCAAAAGATTCCACCAATTACTAGAACTCATACAGCAATTCAGTAATGTGGCAGGACACAAAATCAATGCACAGAAATCAGTTGCTTTCTTATACACTTATACAGCCCAGATATGGACCCTCAACTCTATGGTCAAATAATCTTCAACAAAGCAGGAAAAAATATGCAATGGAAAAAAGACAGTGTCTTCAATAAATGATGCTGGGAAAATTGGACAGCTATATACAGAAGAATGAAACTCGACCATTCTCTTACACCATACACAAAGTTAAACTCAAAATGGTTGAAAGACCTCAATGTGAGATAGGAATCCATCAAAATCCTACAGGAGAACATAGGCAGTAACTTCGTCGACATCAGGCACAGAAGCTTCTTTCAAGACACTTCCCCAAAGGCAAGGGAAACAAAAAGAAAAATGAACTTTTGGGACTTCATCAAGATAAAAAGCTTCTTCACAGCAGAAGAAGTAGTCAACCAAACAAAGAGGCAACCCACAGAATGGGAGAAGATATTTGCAAATGACACTGCAGACAAAGTGCTGATTTCCAAGATCTATAAAGAACTTCTCAAACTCAACACCCAAAAAACAAATAATCAAGTCAATAAATGGGCAGAAGACATGAACAGATACTTCTCAAAAGAAGACATACAAATGGTTAACAGACACATGAAAAAATGTCCATCATCATTAGCCATCAGGGAAATTCAAATCAAAACCACACTGAGATACCACCTTACACCAGTTAGAATGGCAAAAATTGACAAGACAAGAAACAACAAATGTTGGAGAGGTTGTGGAGAAAGGGGAACCTTCTTAACTGTTGGTGGGAATGCAACTTGGTACAGCCACTTTGGAAAACAGTGTGGAGGTGCCTCAGAAAATTAAAAATAGAGCTACGCTATGACCCAGCAATTGCACTACTGGGTATTTACCCCAAAGACACAGATGTAGTGAAAGGAAGGGCCATATGCACCCCAATGTTCATAGCAGCAATGTCCACAATAGCCAAACTGT